CTAAATGGTGGCACTAATCTCTGAAATCCCTCCATAGAATTTTTTTTTATTGCTTTTGGTCTATTATTTTTAGGTAAGAACTATTTTGGGGGCTTCCACATGGATTTTCCTACTGTTGTATCTTTTTAAAAAAAATTCAATGCAAGGTTCTGTTGCCAAATATGTCTATTCCAATTATGCTTTCTGGAACTGAGGACATGTAGGATGGGTTCAGTGCCCAATTGGACCCATCTTCGAGATGGACCCAAGCTAACACTTCATTAATAACCTCCTGTTCATGCATCTACTCTGACTGGTTGACTATGGTAATGTATTGAATCTCCTGGCATTGGTGCTAATTCAGAGCCAGTTTCTAGTAATCCAGAAAAGTCTGGTTTTTTTTTCCTTTTCTCCAATGAAATCATTCTTGTAAAAGGCACCTTTTTACTCAAGGGGTTGTGAATCTGTAAACTGAGTCAGGTCAGGTAATTGATTGAAGTGCCGTGAATCTATTCTGGTGATGCAAATTAGAGAGCTGTTCACTTGAATTAGAACTCTTGCTGTTGTGCAAATCAAGTAAATAGTAGATTTCCCATTTATTTCACCCCTAGTGGGCACTATGACTGTCTATTACAATAACCATTCCCACCTGTTCTTTGTCGATTATGTGCTGTCACCAGGTCCCAACCACGCCAGGTTCAGTTGGCATAATTGTAGTTAGGTGTCTTATGTCTGTAGGGTAGTTTCATGGTCAAATCTTAACATAGGTAGACTAGCAATCACAGCATACTTTAAGAATGCTGGGCTCCTCTCACAACAGTGTTCCTCGCCATTGTGGTGAAAGTTGTGTCCTCGGGACATTCCCTGGTTGGTTCTGTGGGTCCAACTGGATAAATCCGCTCTAATATACCAGTTTCTTTAACTTCTGGATACCATCTTCTGCAATATCCCAAGGCAGGCCTGGCATTTTGCCTTGGTTTAACATAGGCCACCTTTTGATTAGTGCTTCATGCAGCCATATCAATAACCCAGACTGACCCAACTTGATGTTCCTTGCACCCCATATCCTTAATGGCCATTCCCATACATAGTCTTCAGGTTTCTGTTTGTGTGTTAGGCCGGGTTGACTAGAAAAACAAATCCAGGGACATTTGTGTGTGTGTGTGTGTGTGTGTGTGTGTGTGTGTGTGTAAGAGAAAGCTTTATATCAAGAAGTAGTTATTTATCAGGAAAACATTCCAGCCCCGTCTCGATCAAGTCTAAGTCTGATACTAGTCAATAAGTCCCTTTTCAGACTCAGGCAGCCTCACGCAATGATGCAGAATGCAGGAAGATCACGGGCCGGTAGGTGAAGAGTCTAGTGGATCCAATGGCGGTAGAAGCATCACAAGGCTCTGGCAGGTCTCAGCCACGTGGTTTGCTAACAGGAAGATGAAACAGAGAGAGAGAGAAAGCTCCCAGAATCCTCAGAGAAGGCCACACCCACAAAGAGTTATCATCAGGCTGTGACCTGATTGACAGGCTAGACTCCACCCCTACGCTTATTTGTCAGGTTGACGTGAAATTATGTAACTACCACAGTTTGTAAGAAAAGCCAAAACGTTCTTTTGGAATGTAGTGTGCCTACCCCTGGACCACACTTTATAGGACTTAAGTCCAGTGAAAGAGGTGGTGGAGGAGGATTCTGTGGACGTGTCACTGAAGTGATGCTCCAGGCACCACCCCAAGTGATATCGCAGAGAGATGTTTGCACCGCTGGGCTACTCTTTTCAGAAGGGGTGGGAAGACATCCTGGTCTTGCTATGGAGGGATGGTTTAGTACAAAGCCTAACTGTGGGTCTTGACTCCATATGGGATTGTGCAATTGAATTTGGGGGTTAGGGAAAAACTGGTAACAGTAAAAGGTTTCTGAACAACACATAACAATTAAAAAATTAATTTAAAATGAGACGCGTAATCCAAAGTGTTTCTGACAGTGCTTTCCCATGTTGCAAGTTTCTCGGGTGAAAAGGGGTCAAGAGTGAAAAAAGTGTAAGAAATCCTGGTAGCAAGAGTGAGGTCATAGCTTCCGATAAGAATAAGGGGGCTGGGTCTATTGGAATCCCTCTTGCGTCCTCAGCCTCCTGATTATGCCCCATCCTGTTTTCAGGATCCAGAGTCCTCCCAGTCAAGGCCCTCCCTTTAACATTAGACACCACTCACATTTGGGAATTCAAGTGACATTCTAATTTCAGCCGCTCTTACAGTGAGGCTGGCTCCTACACAAAATAGGGCTTTCTTTCAAGGCACACGTGGCCACTGTTATTTTTTTTAATGTAGCTCCATTCCTGGTACCAAATGTCTTACTTAGACATAGTTGTCTGGAAGAGCAAAACCAATGAAGTGTTTGTGAGAGAGCATGTGTGCATGTGCGCACAAGCAAGCATGCACATGTACCTGCCCACCAACCACTGCTGTGGTCTATTCTGACTTGTACTGACCCTTTAGGACCGAGTGAATCTGTCCCACAGGTTATCCAAGACTAAATCTTAATGGGAACTGACTTTGTTCAAAGAAGTGGTTGGGGGGTCTGAATTCTCAGCCTTGTTAGCAACCCAGTGCTTAACTCATCACGCTACCATGTTCCTATAGTATTTCTCTGCACATAACACAGACTCTAGGACAAATGGAAAAAAAGATACTGCTAGTCATATTCTAGTTCACACATTCACAGGATCATTCCAAACAAAATGTATTAAGCATGCTTCCACAATCAGTGGTTGGCTCATTAATTTGTCAGAGTCTCATTGGAATGCCTTCAACAAAACGATCCTTTTTGTGCCCTGAAAAGAAATTGATTTTGAGGTCTGGGCTATTATCCTATTTTAATAACATTCAAAAAGACTTCTTTCCAAGTCATGGAAGCTATGCAACAAGTTTACAGGAATGCTGCTCCACATAGAGCAGCAGTTTTTAGATGGATCAAGAATTTTAAGGCAGGTTGAGAAGATCTCCAAGATTAGCCAAGAGAGAGAAAACCGCCAAACTCATCGAATGAAAAGCCTGGCCGACGTCCAGAGCCTGGTGGAAGAAGACTGTAGAGTTGCTGCTGTGATAGCTACTGAAGTTTTGTTGTACGTGATCTGGCATTTTCACACTGAGGCAGATAATATGTCCTCAGCAACCTTCTGGCCTGATGTGTGTCGAGACAGCGCGTGAAGATCAGCCAGCTCTCAAGAGCTGATCTTTCCATCCGTTTTTTTAAGCAATGTTTGCCAAACCACAGAATCATAGCCCAGCTAACTTTACACATACCACGATCTGCATGAAAAATCCCTGCCCGTATGTGACAGATGGGAACATTCCAGGTTTGTTGTTAGTGCCAGGTCTGGCCCTTCCCTAAATTCTGTAAGCTTCTGGCAACCATAATCCCCCGTCCCTACCCCCATCCCACCCCCCCAAAAAATCCTATCCTTGGAAAAAAATCAGGCTTTGAATGTGTTTTTACCAAGGAATTCTTTCCTCACCATTATCAAAACCATGGCTGAGAACAGGCAGCTGCAGACCTTGCTACTAAAGACACTTGAGTCTGTCCTAAAACTAGCAGCCCTGGCAGCAACTGACCTTCTAAAAGAGGAATTGTTTTTTCACTTTCTGAGGAGATCGCTTTGGATTGGAAACGTTTTAGCTCTGAACCTCAGCTTTTACATCAAAGGTCCTTTTTAGAAGCCGCTCGGTGTACCTCAGTCAGAGAACTACTGCATATCAGATTAGACTCTCCCTTTGGCGTCATCTCTGTAGCATTTACTCTCCGCCACTTCCACACGGAATCACCATAGAACCTGTTGTGGATTTGCTTGTAACAGGTTGGCAATCCCCACCCCACCCTCACCACCCCCAGTAATTTAGTAAGATTAGTTACCTGCTACCTCAATTATAATCATTTTTAGAGGACGCTTGGTAAGAGTGTGGCCATCATACCGGACGAGCAGTGCTGCACTGCTTTGGAGTGTGCAAGGTCTTGGTGCGCCACGTGGGCCCAGAGCTGAGAGAAATGATCCTCCCAGAGTGGTGTGCTCAATGTTTGCTCTGAACTGTGTGTGTGTGTGTGTGTGTGTGCGCGCGCACGCACGAACGCACATATACCGTCACTTATACCTGTGTGTGAATGTGAGATAGCATAGAATCTTTTCCTCCCTCCCTTAGCAACTGAATTGTATAGTTCACGAGAACTTTATAGTTCATGATATAACTCATGAGAACTATTCCAGTATTTAGTTAGTGTGGGTTTTAGAATTATAGGCGCTTTGTTTAGACATGGGTGATGTAAATGGTTAGTATGTTTTTCTGCCAACTGAGAGGCTGGAAATTCATTCCAGAAGTACCTCAGAAGAAAGGCCTGGTAACCTACATCAAAAAATCCAGCCACTGAAAGCCATGTGGAACATAGTTTTGTTCTGACACACATGGGCCTCTGTGAGTTAGAATCAACTTGGCTGCAACTGTTGTGTTGGGGCTTTGTGTTTTCAGTTTGAGCGTACCATCTGATGTTAACATTTCATTAACTGTACATCTTCCTATATTACATTCCCAGCCTCTTTTCAGTCGGCCATGATCCATCTCTGGCCTTTCTCGAACACCCTCTTCTTCCAGCCACTGCGCTCTCTCAGTGCCCTTCCCATGTCCCTTTGTCTTTGTGAAATGTCCCAGTTCTCATGAACTGAAACCATGGTCACTGTTCTTTGCAAGAGCTGGCATTTCTTAATTTAAGGGTGGCACCATTTGTCGTGAGTCCTTTTTGCCCTTTTTCCCCTTAAAATTTTGTTGATCCCAAATTTCAAAGAGGCCTATAAATGTGAAGATGGGTCTAAATTCCTCAAACCATATCTTGTAAGACCTTGTGTGCATTGGGTAATGCATTCAAGAGAGAACTTGGTTACACGTATTTCCGGAGCTCATGTTGGTCTCCCGTGCTTGCAGAGCAGAAAGTTATAAGTTAGGAAACTGCCTGAATGCTTGTGCCCGTCTCTCTTCCTCTGCAGAGAGGTGCCTGGAAGATCACGAGCTGGTGGTCCAGGTGGAGCGCACCATGGCCAGCGAGAGTAAATTTCTGTTCAGGAAGAACTATGCAAAATACGAGTTTTTTAAAAATCCCATGGTGAGTACTAACTATTTGGGTTTGAGATGTGTAACTTGTGACATCTCGGAGTTTCTAATGAGGTTGAACGGTATCAGATTATAAAATAACTGCCTTGAGACCAGGACTTCAAACCAATTCAAACTGTTACAGCCATGGCTGATGGTGCAGGATATTGCCCCAACCTCACTTTGTAAACTGGGGTTGGGGTTTTATAATACATATGGAGGGAAATTATGAGCCAAAAAGCTGGAATGGGAGACTGGGAAGAAGGGTAGTGAGCCTTCTCTAGATCTTGATGTCTGAAATTGCATCACTGCCACAACTCTAGAGAGTGACAAACCCTCCAAGTGGCACACTTGGCTCCCATCTATGTGCTACCACTGCTTCTGTTTCTGCCTCTGCTGGGCAAGACATTTAGTTGCTATGCAACAATCACACGGTTCTTATTTTCTAAGATTAAGTTTCTAGAAGATCATTAACCCTTATAATTTTCTCCAGTACACCCAAATTTTATAAACTTGTATGCATTCTAGTTTGTCATTCCCAAACTGAACCATAAACTGGTTCAAAGCCCTGCATGAGATTTGTGGAGTAGTGTATGGGCTTGAAGATTTTGTGTCTATTTAACTATGTAACCTTGGCTCACAACTCCATTCCTGATGCTGAACTATATGCCTTTGAGACTGACAAAGGGTTACTATTACCTTCTACAATTAATAATAGTGGGGGGGGGGGTCTCCAAGGGTAGGGAAAGGCCCAGCCTAGTTTTTCTAGATACTTTGAAAGTTCTTAATCAATTGGAACCCAGTGATCAGGAGAAGAAAAACATGTGTTTTCTGCA